TATTGTAGGTTTAGCTTCTCCCAATCCAAGAGATCTGTACACATTGAGTGACATCAAATTAACACTGGCACCTAAATCACATAAAGAATGCTCAAAATAATTAGAACCAATTGTGCACGGTATAGTGAAACTCCCTGGATCCTTTAATTGAGGAGGTAGCTTCTTTAGGAGGATCGCACTTCCTTCCTTGTTCAAGCAAACAGTTTTACGCTCTTCAAGCTTTTCCCTTGTTAGCCAAGATCACTTTCAAAAATTTTGCATAACTAGGCATCTATACAATTGTATTTGCAAACGGGATGTTAATATGTAGTTTCTTGAAAATTTCAGCAAACTTTGCAAATTGCTTGTCTAACTTCCTCTTCTGCAACCGTTGAGGAAAACGAATCGGTGGCACATAGGTTTTGACAGGACTTGGTGCTATGATTGTAGCTGGTTCTTTTTTTTCTTCATTTTTATTTTCATGTGTTGCAGATTTCTCTTTTTCCAGTAGCCCTTCGACTTTTGCCTCTTTCTCTCGTCTGTCTGGCCTTTTCACATGAATTTTGGGTAGTTGTACTCTACTTCTAGTCGTTATGGCTTGCACTTGCTCCTTTGGATTTATTATTGTGTTGCCCGGTAATGTCCCTTGTGGGCATTCTGCCAACTGTTGAGCTATCTGACCGATTTGTGTTTCTAATGTCTTGATTGAAGCCTATTGATTCTAAAAGTTCGTATCAAGTTGCTGGAACACCTTGTCTATCTTTTACATATATTGGTTGAACATCTCCCCCATACTTGGTTTTTTCTCCTGCTGGACAGTATTTGGAGCATTCACGAGCTGATTATCAGACCATCTGAAGTTCGGGTGCTGTCCCCATCCAGGGTTATATGTTTGTGAGTAAGGGTTAAAATTTTGGGAGCCATTCCGAATGATGTTGACCTGTTCCCTGGGATAGCCCATAGACATACAGTTTTCTGTTGAATGATTACCTCTAAAGTTTTCACATGATGGACCACCTATCACTGCATATGTTCCTCTCATTTGTGATTTCACCAATAGCTCTACCTATTTTGTCAAGGTTGCTATCTGCGCTTTCGTAGATGCTACGCTATCTAGTTCATACATCCCGGATGCTCTCGGTGGTACCACTCTTTCGGATGAAAACATCGAATGCGTAGTGGCAATTAACTCAAATAAGTCAATGGCTTTTGCACTGATTTTCATATGATCGATCCACCAGCAGAGGAGTTCACTTGAGATTTTGACAGTGGTGAGAGTCTGATGTTGACACTACACCAAAAAAGGGCATTTGCAACATATAAAAGGCAACATTCGGTTGTTAAATGTTGCAAAATGGGTCTATCGCAACATTTGAATAAGCGAATGTTGCCGTTTGTTGACATCATTGAGCTTTGGTAACATTTTTTAAATGGATGTTGCAAATGTCGCCTTCCGTAACGTTTATTGAATGTTACAAAAATTTCTATTTTTTGTAACGTTTATTCAACGTTGCAAAAATAACTTTTTGCAACGTTTATTAAACGCTGCAACAAGTTTGTTTTTCGCAACGTCCAAT